GTATGTACAGCCACACACATATACATGTACATACATATATATATAAATACATTCAATATATATATATATATATTATTTCATTTCCATTTTGTATGTTGAAGTACTGAAATAACTAAAAATAAATAAAACTAAAACTTAATTAAAAACCTATATAGAGATAATAAAAAACTAATAAAATGACAAAATTACTACAACTGTAACTAAAACTAATACTTTTTATGTCACTAGTGATGCCTATAATTGTCTTATTTATGACTGTCTTAAAAAATAGCATTTAATCTCACATTTAACCACAAGTTATTATAGTTTTACACTAGTGCCTATATCTGTAGTAAATATACGATTTTACTGTAGTTGCCATGGTAATTTGTTTATAAGGGAAGTTTGGCTCAAATCCTGTGTGGGTCAAATCCACTCATATATGACATACTGCCAGCTGAGAAGACTGGGCACGTCCACATCTCTGCTCTTCTCACTCGTAGTCATGCAAAACTGACCGCTTTACTATATCTACATCATCCTCTGAGACCCGGAATGAAGACTTGGGAGTTTAAGTTAACACAAGGTAAACATTTAGAGAGTTTATTTTGTAAAACCTCGCGCTGAGTTGGATTGACACTTCGCCATGACGTCAATCTATGCAGCCGGCTAACATCAGCTAACGTAGCAGCTTTACTCATTCAAACACCTTTAGATATGTTTATAACAGCTGCTACTGAGCGGTTCACCGTGTAATTGAACATCTTAGCTTGAGGCTTATGCAGACTTGTGGACTGTTTTTATTTCTATAAGCACACGAGGTGTTATGAATGTAAACGATAGTTAGCTTGTTAGCTAACTAACAGCTGCTGAGTAACAGCACGCCCGTTTATTTGCATAAACATTAATTTATACTTTATAACCCTGACTAGATGTTTAATATTATTATTATTTTAAAGGTTGTTGTTTGGTCACATATTATTATTATTATTATATTTTATTTTGTAAGGATTTCTTTTATTTACGTCAGTTAAACTAACAAGTGTCTGACAACTAGCATATGTTACATGTACTGTATTAACTAAAGTAACAATGTTAATTTAGAATTTCGTTTCAAAATGTAAATATTTCATCCATATTCAAAAGTCATGGTATTTCCTTGACAATAAAGTACTTGTGTGGTACCATAGTACTTATTTTCAAGAACAGCATGGTACCACGTTGATACATATTTATGAACATAGAAGTAAATGGTACTTATTGGTGAAGCTTTGAAAAAATGATATGGTACTTCATTGCAATTTAGGGAATACTATGTGTGTGTTTCTACTGTATATATATATATATATATATATATATATATGTAGAGAGAGAGAGAGAGAGCACCCTCACTATTTTAAGAAGCACCCTCAGTGATTTGATTCTGGAGCCGGGCCTGACTCGCAGATTATTTCGGGAATGCTATATATATATATATATATATATATGTAGAGAGAGAGAGAGATACTCAAAAATGCTAACAAGTTTTCGAGATGCGCTAATGCTTTCCTAATGCATATATGTTGTATCACAGAGTAGTATGCTGGACGTGGGAAAGTGGCCGGTGTTTGCCCTCCTGCCCCCTGAGGAACTGCGGCTCATCCGCCAAGCCTGTGTGTTCGGTAGCGCCGCAAATGAGGCTATCTACTTTACCGTCAATGATGAGGTACAGACATGCTGAAAGCTTTTAGTGGACAGATGAATCATAAATGAGTACACATCTTTGCTGGAAAATCTTCGTTAGGTTTGGTGGAGCTCTTGCTCTCTCACACTCTCACTGTCTCACACACATCAGGACTCAATGATAAGGATGCTTCAGTAAGAATACATTCATAATTACAAACAAATTAGTAGTTGTTTGCCATCGTTTTAAAATTGAAGGTAAATTTGGTTTAAATTTAAACAAATTTTATTATTACTGTTTTTATCAAATAAAGGCGGCGAGAATTTTGTCAGGGAAAGTAAAAAAATCTAAGCTACAGTAGAAAAAAAAATGTTTTGTTGAGCTCTGCACACATATAGGAAATAGGAATAGGAAAGAGACCGAGACAAAGGCAGAGTGATCTTGGGCTGGTGATAAGCAGATAGAATAAAGCTATATTTAGGCTCGTAATACTAACACAAGCCTTGTTTGCTTACTGAGAGGAGCTCTGGTGCACGTCCTGAGCCTGGCCACTTCCTTTTTTAGCTCTGTTTTCCTTTAATGCTTTTTAACCACAATAAAACATGGGCTGCCTTTAGGTAGCATTTATTTTTTCAACAAATGCTTTCCACTGTCTCACACACATCAGGACTCAATGATAAGGATGCTTCAGTAAGAATACATTCATAATTACAAACAAATTAGTAGTTGTTTGCCATCGTTTTAAAATTGAAGGTAAATTTGGTTTAAATTTAAACATATTTTATTATTACTGTTTTTATCAAATAAAGGCGGCGAGAATTTTGTCAGGGAAAGTAAAAAAATATAAGCTACAGTAGAAAAAAAATGTTTTGTTGAGCTCTGCACACATATAGGAAATAGGAATAGGAAAGAGACCGAGACAAAGGCAGAGTGATCTTGGGCTGGTGATAAGCAGATAGAATAAAGCTATATTTAGGCTCATAATACTAACACAAGCCTTGTTTGCTTACTGAGAGGAGCTCTGGTGCACGTCCTGAGCCTGGCCACTTCCTTTTTTAGCTCTGTTTTCCTTTAATGCTTTTTAACCACAATAAAACATGGGCTGCCTTTAGGTAGCATTTATTTTTTCAACAAATGCTTTCTCATTAAAGCGACTATAATCTCATGTATCTCATGTACATACTGTAAGTAGGGATCGAGTGCTAAACTGACAGCACAAAGTGCTTTTAAGAATGCTGTGTAAACGGGTTTGTAGTTATGTGAGAGGGAGCAGTCAGAGTTGACCCTTGAGAGCCTGATTGTCACATCAGGCTCTCAAAATCTTACTGGATGAATGTCTCATCCAGTAAGATTTTAAAACCAGAATTATCTGTTCTGTAAATATACACACATGGTCTTGACTGATATTCTCTGAATATTGAGTGAGAGTCAGTGGCATAATAAACTATAAGTAGGGCTGTCAAAATTAACACGTTAATTGTGTGATACATTTTTTTTTTTTAGTTTAACGTGCTAAAAATATTTAATGTATTTAACATAGCATCCATTTTTTCCCCTGGTATCCCTTTGTCTAGCGGTACAGTAGACTATATGAACATGCTATCAAGCACAACAAGACACAAAAGAGAACTTAATTCAGTGCTGGAACGTTGTCTGTGGAGCACGATTGTAGCGCAGTGAGCTTGCGAACAAAAACACAAAATTATGCCAAAATGCCCATTTTTGGTGAGTAACCTCATAAACAGTCTTAAATGAGTTAAAAAGTACTAAATGACCGTAAAGAACTGGGAAGAAAATCGGATGTGTGTCAGATCCGTGTCATGCACATCAGATTTTAAAGAGACGGTGCTGCATTTAAAGTGAAACCTGCTGCACCCTGTCATTGATGTAAATCAAACAACAAAAGAAAATCTGTATTCAATTTATAGTTTATTCATATACAATTTATAGTTTGTGAAGATTAAGTTCTAACTATAAGTAAATATAAATAAACATAATGAAAAGTTTGTGTCAAGTGTCAAACAACTTAACTGATGTGTTTGAGTGTGTCACCCACAGGTGTTTGCACTGGGGACGAACTGCAGTGGCTGCCTGGGGCTCGGGGACACGCAAAGCACCATTGAGCCCAGGCGGATAGACATCTTGTGTGGGAAAAAAATTGTGTCTTTGAGCTACGGCACAGGACCACACGTGGTCATCGCCACTGCAGGTTGGACAGATTTTTTGACATGAAACAATGGCGATGATTTGGCATTTGCCTGTACCAAATAATTGTGGTTGCAGGATGGCGAAATTAGAAATCTTTCTATGGTGAAAACTCATGAATATTATTATTTTTTATCATAAATGTGTATTATTATTATTAAATATTATTGTGCAGCTCTAATATGAGGGGTCAGATATTATAATATATAAGCAGGACATTCCCCGTACGTTCCTAATGATATTTATACTAGTTTATCAAGATTGTAAATGTATATAAACAGACCTTATGGAAGTGGGTGTGATCTGAATTTAAAATTATCATAAGCAAAATGTAAAAACATGGTGAGCTGCAGTGACTTGTTGTAATAAAGTCTTGCAGTTGTAGTTGTAATGAAAGCATCAAGAGGCATATATAGAAGTATAATGTCTAAACCAGGGGTGTCCAAATTCGGTCCTGGAGGGCCGGTGTCCTGAAGAGTTTAGCTCCAACCCCAATTAAACACACCTGAACCAGCTAATCAAGCTCTTACTAGGCATACTAGAAACTTAAAGGCAGGTGTGTTGAGGCAAGTTGGAGCTAAACTCTGCAGGACACCGGCCCTCCAGGACCGAGTTTGGGCACCCCTGGTTTAAACCATGATTTAATTATTAAAATATATATATAATATTAATTATTTAAAATATTTTAAAGTATTTTTTGCAAGCTTTTTACATCAGGGATTGTGTTAAAGGCATGTCGTAGTAGCACATTATCACACTGAAGTTTAATCTTCAGTCTAGTGTTTATGGGTCTTGAGATTACATCACAGAATTTCATGGGAGATGTATTCCACATTCAGACATGATTTGGCTGACTTGACTATGTATCAAATTAGGCCTGTGTAAGTGTGGGGTCTGAGCTCAGTGTACTAAGAGTTGTCATCTGTTTAATATAATGCTATTAGCAATGCTCGATCTTGAAGACATCCACAATCTACTTTTCAAGTGAATCTTTTATGTCCGCATAATGATGTTAAAACTAAAACATTGACTGGCTACTAGATGGCTGTGCTGACTGGTCAAATTGTATCACGTTTATATAATGTGTTTTTTTCATGAGTGTTGACATATCAACGTGAGCTAGCTAGGCTGTGCGATTAATCAAATTTAAGTTTCGATTTCAAATTTGGCTTCCAATGATAATGAACATGTGATAATCAATGCCGCTCATTTCCTTTAAAGCGGTGTACTTTTGTCCCTCTTTATAAGCGGATTCATGTATTAGATCCACATAATTGGTCTTAAATCAAACAACAAAAGACAAAGAGAAAACCACTCACTGCTCTTAACAGAATAACATTAGTAGATTTAAAAATCTGCTTATATTTAATTCATACAGAAAAGACTATGCACTATGCAGTGTTTTAACCGATTCTTTAATGCAATATAGAGTTTTACATTTTTCATATATATATAAGTCCATTGGCTTGTTCCAGTCTGGATATTCTAAATAGCACATTTCAAAATTAGGAAGATTGCAACTCCAATCGTGGATTGTGATTGTGTGTTATAAGATCAAGATAAAACATTTTCACCCACCTCTGATTTAAATGGTTTCATTTTGTGGTAAAACCTTCAGGAGGCCTTTTAAAAACACTTATTAGGATTAACTAAACATCTATGCAGTCTGACGACAGATGGAAAAAACAAAACAAATGATCAAACAGTCTGATTTTTTATAGTTTGTAATATGAGAAATATTCTACATGTTGCAACATGAGTTTTGGAAAGCAAAACATTTTCATACCTGATAAACATGAAATGATTCAGTTTCCACTGAGGTAAAAGTTGAGTCACAGCAGATGTTTTCAGATGGTCAACATTAGGCCTGTGTCTTTGATTAAATCACGTATGTCAGCTGTTCAAGTTCAGTTTTATACTCCCCAAAGCCAATTTTATTTTTGTTTGGCACTGTTCATTTAGGCCTTGTATAGTAGATTCTAGATCTGCTTTTCCAGTATGTTTGTCTCCTAACCAAAGACCTGAGCCAAAGTTTTGTCATCTTCAGATCTATATCTTGTCTTCTGTGTCTGTAGATGGAGAAGTTTACGCCTGGGGTCACAATGGCTACAGTCAGCTGGGTAATGGCACCACCAACCACGGTCTGACTCCTGCCTTGGTTTCCACCAACCTCATCAGCAAGAGGGTGACAGAGGTGGCCTGTGGCTCTCATCACACCATAGCCCTCACCACAGAGGGAGAGGTAAAAAAAAAAAAAAAAATATGCTGGTTATGATTTTATCAAACAAAAATTAGGAAATGGAAAATCTTTTTTTCTGGATTTTCCCCCACATTTCTGAGTTTACATCTCACAGAACAAAACAATAAATCACACAACAGAACAAATTACAGAACAAAAAAATAGAATGTAATTTCGACTTTTCATCCCACAATTTCAGCGTTTTTTTTCTTCTTCTTTTTTTCTGACTTGGCGGGGGGGGGCGCTGCGCTCAGAATTGCGAGATATAAAGGTTCAGTTTTTTTCTCACAAAAAGTTTGTGTTATCCTATGGTTTCCATATAATACTGCTCTGTTACTATCATTATACTGAATGCCTTTATATCATTATACATTATATATTTATATAACAGTTTTGTCCTTTAATCTTTTTAATGTCAAAGAGCCCTAAATACTATATTCCCCTTGTGAGGGACCCCTTCCTAAAATATAAAGGCAGCTATTTTACACTGAACAAAATTATAAACGCAACACTTTTGTTTGTGTATATTTTAATTGCTTTAATAGTGCAGAACCACTATTCTGTCTAATTGTTTTCACTTCCCTAGTAACAAAGTAATATATTTAAAATACATTTATTTAATCCTAAGTATAGTTCAAATCTATTTACATATTTACTGACACATTGCTCGAGACGTACTGATATAAAAATTATTTAACTTTATTTGGATTACTACTTGTGCACAATGCACATTTCTTAATGGTGCCATAGAATGCATTGATACAATATTTTAAATTGTTCTCTGATATCTACATAGTTCAGCCGTCAGTTACAATTCACATCATTTTTAATTCGTAGCTCCGCACTCCATCTGATCCCCAAGGGCTTTGAAACAGCAGTTCTGCTGATGTCTTCATGTAAATTTACATAGTCAGTCTGCAGTGATTTGTTATTATATTGGATGAAAAAATTAATGAAACAAAGTGTTTTCAAAAACGTATTAACAAGAACAAAAATTTTCTGCATAAGTGCTTATTGACAATAAAAGTCGATTAAAATCATGAAATTATTTTTAGGGGAAAAAATCATGATTTACAAGAAGAAAAATGTAACTGTAATATCAAAATCGGTAAACACTTAATTTTATCTCCAATTAAGTACCACCTGAAATTTAGTTGTTGTTGTTGTTGTTTTTTGTAATTATTGTTACTGTACATTACTTGCTGTAATTAGCACTTGGTTTATCTCAAGGCTCTGTGTTGACAGACTTACGGCTGGGGTTATAACTGCAATGGGCAGCTTGGTTTGGGTAACAATGGCAACCAGCAAACCCCTTGCCGGATCGCCGCCTTACAGGGAATCAACATTGTACAGGTGACAAACAAAGACCTCTGGGTATTAATCAGTGGAGTATGGTGGTCTTCTGAAATGAGGTGGCTTCTGTAAGAAAGGCTTAGGTGATAGCATTTACTTTGCAGCGAACAATATATTATACATTAAATTTAAATATAGCATATTCTACATTAACACAAATTTTATTAAAACCAAGTCACATCAAAGTCTGTTTAACCATTTTTTTTTCACATTAATTCAAAAATAAGTGTATTAATACCGTAAAGTATTGTTTATATACTATTGCAGTATATATTAAAGGGATAGTTCACCCAAAAATGAAAATTTAATGTTTATCTGCTTACCCCCAGGGCATCCAAGAAACAATGGTTTCCATGTACAGAACTGTTATTATTCAATAACATATGCCATTCTATGGCACCTTTAATATTAAGCCTAAAATGTGTTTTAATGTCACTATTGATGAGGATTGTATGATCTTTGAATAATATTGGTTTTAAATGCAAGATAATTAAATTGTACCTAGAGTATATTTGCAATAGTTCCAGTTTAGCACAATCAAATATACTTCAGCATATCTTTAGTTGGACTTCAGCACTACTTCCGCACAATTAAAGTGCAT